GATAGTAAGCCTTCATTGACAATGGGTTCATGAGCCTATTTGCAAGAAAGCTGAAAATGCAAATGAGTTTCTTCTTATTTCCGAGTTATAGACATCATTGCTACACTAACAACAGCTATGAAAGATTCGATATACAGAGGTAGAAGCTACTGTGATGCAGAAGAACCAGTAAAGCATAACCGATGGCGTAAGTTTCATATTGTTTTGTTTCTTGACATGTTTTGCTTTTGCCACGTTCTTTTTTTCCGGTTGCTTGTTTTCAATTTTGTACTATTTTGTTGCAGTCTTACTGGATGACAGCTCTTCACCATGCTGTGTTCCCAAAGTTTGAACGTGTTTAGTCTGAACTATTAACGCAAGCCATATGTTCAACTGGCAACTTCTATTTTCTACACCGTTCTATTTTCTTCACTAAATTTGTCTCCATGCGTGCAATTCAATTTAGGAGCGGATACAAGGCAGCGAAAGCGTTGTGGAATGTGTGCCAACTGCATCCGTCTATAGGACCAATGTTGTTCTTCATTCGTCACTGGGCCAAGGAAGTGGGCATCACCCATGAAACACCGGGCATATGGCTGACCAACTTTCAGATCATCTGTTTGCTGATATTTTTTCTTCAGCGCCACTCGCCGTCTTTGCTGCCGTCGTTGGACCGTCTGGAAAAAAGGATGACCTTGCCGCCCTCGTCACCATCACCGGAAGTGTTTCAGCTGATCCAAGAATTTTTCTACTTCTATGCCCATCAAGTGGATTACCGCAAGTACGGTCTTGATCTGAATACTGGTACCCTAGTTGAAAAGAAAGACTCATCGCTGCTATATATCCGCAACCCGTACGAGTCTGGTCATAATATCACCCGAAACTTGAGCTCGGACGAATGGCTGAATACTTTGCTGTCAATGGATACTGCACTGCGCCTATGTGAGAAAGCAGATGCTATGTGTCGGAGGCGAGGCTCCCGTAACGGTGATTGGGGCCTGTTGACGTTGTGCAACCCAGTGTTTTACCAGGAAAGGAAAAAGCCATCCATCGCTTCCGCCGCTGAAGAGGTGGCTCAGTCGTTCAGTGTTGAAGATGTGCTATCCCCTGACGCGACAGAAACAGCGACCGCTGTGCCAACGAATGCCAGTTCCAGAATTGCTGCCTCCATGAACAATTTACAAAAGGCTAATTTGTGCTGATGACTGTTTCTTTGTCTTTTGTCTACATCCGTTTACTTTTGATGATTGTCCAATAAATTTCGCTGTTGCATATTAATTGAACCTTTTTAATGTTCACTGATTCGGTTGAAAAATATCTTGTGGTTGCTTCCTTGTGGACTAACGCGTAGACATTATTATAGAAAATATCATGGCTGAAGATGTGAACTCGCCGACAAAAAAGTTTGAAAAGGTACGACAGATGCTTCCCTATTATTGCTGTTTACCACCGATGTGCAATGCTTTGTTTTTGTTCAGATTGTTTCTGACAAATTGCATGACCACACCGTTGGTTCGTACATTTTTCATGGAGAAGATCACACGCTTGGAAATGCGTTGAAGCATATGATTAGTCATTAGTAGGTGGAAGATAATTGATTTTACTGATATACACATGTGATGCTGTCCCATTTGATTGTCCTATGTCTAATGTACTACATCAAACCTAATCACCGATTAGCAGGTGTCGTTTTCATTGTTAACATTCTAAGGAAATTTTACTGATCGGTCTGTAATGTTTGACGAAGTGAACCGTGCTAGGGGTTAGTAGTTCTGTGCCGATTTCTTTCAGTTCAAAAAAATAACAGCTATCCGTTGCCCATCTTTTTGTGCGACAAACTTATTGCTTACCTCTTAAAATGACTGCAACTGCCTAGCAGTTGAAATGCTAATCTGCTCTATGGGAGGTAATACTTCGGCATCTTTAAGCTAAAATACGTGCTTATCTACACTTGCAGTCTCCGAGCAATGGGTGATTATTTCAGAGAATGTCTAACCGTTATTTGTAGGATAAATGTAAATGCACTGATGAGAAGCAAGAAAGAGATTTCCGGAAGGTTACCTCAAAGTTTGTCCCACAGATAAGCGTTATTGTGATTCTAATAAGGTGAAACAAAAAGCATTATTTTTTCTTGCCCATGTCTCTGATCATCTAAGAAACTTGGATTCTTTACTGAATGTAGTACCTGTGGAAATGGTGTTCCGTCAAATTTTCTTATTACTTAGCATGTTGTAGCAGACAACCTCTATTATTAGCAGCGCAGGTTTCAGGAACTGGTTTAGGTGTATGACTCTAAAATGTTAGCGGTCAGTTAGAGACGTCATGAAATCTTTGGACATAATGAACGGCATGAATTTTTGCGTGGTCTATAACAAAGTGTCGTGCAACTTTATGAAAAGTGTGTAAGTGAAGATTTGGCCGGAGGCTTGCTACAGTTTCAACAAATAAGAAAATGGAACTGCGATTCTCAGTGAAATCGTCGATCTTGACAATCAGCTAAGAATGGAAGACGTTGATATTAAGAATGTGCAGGATATGCTGCATTCTTGTGAGGCGGTATCAGAAAGAAAGGCTGCATTATTGTTTAAAGTTAAGAAATTACGACTTTTGGACCGCATCTTCGTTAGTACTGTGCAAAGTTAACCCCTCCAATCCTGATTCAGTCGGTTTTCCTGTTTCCAGTAACGTATCCTTTACGTTAATCGATGAGTAATTGTATCCTCTGTCAAAGAGTATCCCTGTCACTCTCTGAATAGAGGAGCAGAGCAATCGATGAGAAACGAAAACAGCCAGAAGAAGAATAAAGTCGACGTTGGTTAAAGCGTTACGGTTTACAGGCATTATTATAATAAAAGAAGCATTCAGTTCTCACAGCCTTAGATTAGCAATCTTCCTGCTGTAGCACTATGGCAGAGGAAG